TCGAGGTGAACAAAACAGATTTATATTATTTTGCGTTATTCGTAATAAATCTCGAAATATTAATTAATGAGAACTGGTGAATAATTACGCGCAATATGGTAGATTAACTGTAGTGGCGATGTGTGCTATTGTCTGCTTGTATATTAGGTCAAGTTAAACAAAAAACCCTTTATTTGCAAATAACCATAATATCATCTAATAAGCGTTATAATTTCTCAAAGTTTATTGTCTTTTATGACTTATTTATTTAATTTTGTTCATTTAATAATAAATTTTTAATAATTTATGAAAGGAGAGATAGGAAATTGTTACGTGATTGTGCGCGATAATGCATAAATTTTTTTTTATTAATATCTAAAAATCTATGTAATTATTTGCAGAATGGTACATGACTTTTTTGTTCAGTTTTACCTAAGGTATAAATATATAATGGTAGATGGGTCCATTATATCTCATCTACCATATCGCGTGTGATCGTTTACCAATCTTCTTTAAGGCCACAGTGGCGGGCCTAAAAACATTAATAAATTTAATAATTTTTTTCAATATTAAAAAATAACTAAATATTAAAACGAAGCATTGTTTATATATACGATATATCTTGAGATACTTAAAAAAAATTTTTTTGTATTTTTTTCGATCCAAAATGGCGGCGCTACCGGAACCTAATACGTTTTTTTGGAGGTGCTTCGGGGCCTGACATCTAACATCCCCTTACTTTAATCTAGAACAAAAAAGAATTTTCTTTTTAATTTACATTAAAATGCCTAGACAAGTACGTAGGGATTTTTGAAAATATTTATTTTTTCAGAAATTGCAAGCATTTGGAGTTGTATTTTTTGCTAAAAAATTTCGTGAAAAATTGTTCATAAAATAAAGAGTTTTTCATATATTGAGAAACCCCTACGTACTTCTCTGCGGAATCTAAGAAGTTGTTGCTAATACTTGAAGTCATTCGAATAAAAATTATTGAAGTTATGTGTTAGGTTAATTTGAAAAATGTTGTTTTGAGAAAAACGCGATTTAAGTTTTAAGTATTGTTTTTTGCTCTTAAATTTAAAAATTGTGACTTTAAAATTTTTTTACCATAACTCCGCAATGTCAACATAGAGCTGTCCCTCTGTGGCAAGATTTTCTTCCTGTTCTTCTTTTCTTTCCTTTCCTGTTCTTAGAGGATCTTGAGCTCGAGCGCGTCTCTTTTGCCGCGTCCGTCAGCAAGCGCTCCGCGCTACGCGCAGTTCATCAACCTCGACGCAGAAATTGTAAGAATATGGGCTTATTGTGATGCCCAGAACTTCCATAACTTCCATGATATTGTTCAAGCCATTGTTGAAGACGCACACAGCTAAATCGGTAGCTATATTCAAGGTCTTTTTGCCGTTCAAACTGCTCTTCGGTGCTAGACTCTATACAATTGAATTAAAATTTTCGTTGCTATTTTAGATGTAACCCCTAAACAACGAGTAAGCAGTTTATCTTTGCTCAATTCGCGCCGCGGCGCGCTCCGATACACTTGGCGATGCTGTATCGTACCTTACGATGTTCGCTCTAATTTGTTAAAAAATTTTTTTTCATTATAAATCGAATTAAAACTTATTTTTACGAAGATAAGATACCTTTTAAACAAAAAAACAATTTTCGCTTTTTTATCGTGGCCTTAACCTTTTAAGTCACGAATTTTTCTGCACAACTTTTTTCTTCGTTTAATTAATATCTAGGGATTTCTGGGGTCGCAAATTACGAATTTGAAGTCAGTTTTTTTAAATTCAAGTTGCTCACACTCAACTTCATTCATTTATGGAAGAAAATATAACTTATCCCGATTTTTGGTATTTTAGCTCGCCATATTGAGTCCGCTATCTTGAATTTTGAAGTTTTTGAGGTTGCATCATCATTTATAGCTCAAAAAGCATCAAACAAGCTATTTTTTTCCATAGGTTTGCTTTGCAATATTTTTGCCAAATGAATAAAAAAAAAACATTTTTTACAGTATTTTGTTTATGAATAATTAAAGGAGCTAATAATTTTTTAGGCCATGCATGTCGCACTTTTTTGATAAGATATTCGTATAGTTGAAGTTGAGAACTTTTCAAAACGTCCTATAAAAACTTTTTTACGTTGGGGAAATCTAGAGTTATGCGTCTTCAAAGTTTGGGTAATGAGTGCTACAGAATGGGGTAATATTTGCTTCTTTATAAGAACTAAAACTATTTTTATTGCATTTATATGTGTGTTTGTACATTTGTATGTGCGTGCGTGCGTGCGTGTCTCTATGAGAACTATCATCATGATGTAGCAGAGTTTTATAAAATTTTTTTTGTTAACAGACAATGAGCGACGGCTAAAACCTTTTGAATATTACTCAGGATGATGACCTTGACAATAAATGTGAAGGTTATCGTCCTCGAAAGGTGGTCCGTTTTTGTCAATATTTATCGGCGCGTAACTCTAGATTTCCCCAATGTAAAAAAATTGTTGTAAAATTTAATGTTTTATGCAAATGATTCTATTTGAGGAACATCTAAGCTTCACAATGAATCTACATTTACCGCCTCGAAGTCTCAAAAAAATTAATTTAAATTCGTAGAAACTATTCTAAAAAAGGTATATCATATATGATACACTATGACTTAAATGATTAAGCTAATTTTAAATTTCATTTTCTCCAACCCTTTTCCCTCCGATTATTCGCTCTAAGTTCATTCCCGAGTAAAGAGATTCAGTTCTCTGACTCAAAATACAGCCGCTTGCCGTATGTCGTTGCGCATGTAAAACAACCCTTCTGGTCACTGATATGTTCCTCGACCTGCGTGTACAATCGAGGCTTATTTTAAGCAATTTGTCTCGTTATGTTTTCCTCCAGGACTACTTTAAGTTTAAAATGTTTTCTTACACTAGAGTAAAAAAATTACTAATGATATTTATAAGATTCTTCATAAAATGTCAGAAAAATAATATAATATTACATAACGATAGTAAAGACAATAGTACTACTGCTAAATCAGTAGTAAAAACACTGACAACTTGTTTATTCATATTCCATTACTTTTTCTGCTTTCTAATTATAAAAAAAAGTTACTGAAGTTACTGTAATAATACGTAATGCATTCAGTGAAAGTATTGTGACATGTAAGACATCAGAAATTTTGGTATTGATATTTTGATTATAATGATTGACGATTTAAGTTGATCAATTTGACGTTTACCTCACAGACGTTATATTTGTTTATATTCATCAAACCACTTGAAGGTTTCTTCGGAAAAATACTAAAGAGGTCAGAGTTTTGCAATTAAGTCCTTAAAAATTTTTAATCAATGAAAATGTGAACTCGTGCTGTACCTTCCATCGAATGTTCATTTAAATAATGTACTTAGTTTTTTATCCCAATTTCTTATTCCAAAAAACGCTTTGTACCATGTACAGATAATTTTTTTGGTTGCAAGTCGCAATTACAAGGTAATTCTCTCTGTATGTTGGCCGGAAAATGTAAAATGTTTTTGTTTACTTTACGAATTTCGGATACTTGAAAGATCTCTACAGTTCCTTCTGTTGGAACAAATCCTACAGTCCCTCCTCTTCAACTAATATTGTTAAAAATAAGTTGAAATCCCGAATATGGCTCCGATATGTAGATAACAATTTCGTCATCTGGCAACACGGACAAGAAAAACTCCAGGAATTCCTACATGCGCTCAACACACAACAATTACCTTCACAATGGAAGTCGAACAAAATAATAGACTCCCTTTCTTGGATGTCCTAGTCACGAGAAGATCAGATGGCTCGCTGGGTCACCAAGTTTACAGGAAACCTACACATATCAATCGATATCTCCATGCCGAATCATACCATCACCCAGCACAAAAACAATCGGTCCTCGATTCGCTAATACACAGAGCATCTGCGACAAGAACAGCATCCAAAGCGAACTCAAGGATCTCAGGAACTCTCTTCAAAATAATGGCTACACGGCAACACAGATAAACAAAACAATCAGGAAACATCAAACCAGAAGACATCAAAACACACGGACTGAACAACTCGAAAGAAAAGACAAAAGAACGAAACTCCATCACTACTTTCCTTCCATACATATAGGAAATTACAGACAAAGTTGGCAGAATCTTGAAAAAACACAATATTAAAACTATTTACAAACCACCAACAAAAATAGGACAGTATCTGAACAACCCAAAAGACAGAAGATCTCCATTAGATACTCCTGGAGTATATATTGTCCCCTGCTCCTGTGGTAAAGTTTATATAGGAGAAACTGGGAGGATGGTGAGTATATGTATAAAGGAACATCAAAGCGCAGTCAAACTGAAAAATGTAACGCAGTGAGCATTAGTAGAACACAATCTAGAAACGGACACAAAATCCTGTTCAACGAAATAACAGTATTGGCCAAAACCAACAACTACTTCCCTAGGAAATACAGAGAACTCTTGGAAAGCAAAAGTACTCCAACAATCTCAACAGGGATAATGGGCAAAAATCAGTCTAATCTAGCAATCCGTCCTCCCAGTTTCCAAAACATGACAGACAACAAATTTCCCACCACCATCTCCCTGCCAACCCCCCACCTTCCTGTCTCCTCCTTTCTTCTTCTCCCTGTACCAATTACTATATAAAGGAAGACCTCTCAGGAGCAACTCGGCATTGGATCGTTCCTCCCTGATGAAGCGGACTGAAATGTTCGCGAAACGTCTGAATCAAACAAAGATGAATCCACGCGGCTCAAACCCGGAAACCAAATCTAATATGCATGGACACTGCGAAAGCCTAAAAAATCAAATTGTTGAAAATAATTTTCTTTTGTAGTTATGTATATTTCATATCGACATTTTGTAGATTTCGGAAATATTAAAATATTTTTGCTATCTCAAATTTTATATAAATAAGATTACACTTTTAAATTTTAATAACCATTTGCAGATTTACTTTTTATATAGACGTGAACGCCTTTAAATGTGTAATCGTTTATTGTTATTTTTAGGTGGATAGATAAAAAAAATTTGGATGAATTAGTTAGACCATGGTATTGCAAAGCACTACCGTTCCCGTTAAATTTCTATTATCCAAGTAAATTTGAACGACAAGCACAGTCTTTAATACAAAGTTTATATCCTATGGAAGATAATATAAATATTATTGAGAATGAGGTATGTAAAATACATACGTACAATGTAGAATAACTTATTAGTACGTTCGCTACCATCACATATCTATGACATAACGATCTCTTACTAGAGACCAAAGTCACATATACGTGACGACAAATTGTCTTTTTATGTTCACGATATCAAACTAACTCTGTTTTACACAATTGCGTACAAAAAACTATGAAGTAAATTATGAAAAGTCATTTAACCCCTTCACTGTGGAGTACGTCTATACACGTACTGATAAAAAATTTAATAACAGTTAAATAAATTAGCGGATCTATACAAAACTTGGCACTAGGAAGTTTTAAAGATCGTTACAAATTTGAGGTAGAAATTTAAAAATTTTTGATATATTTATTTTAAAGACCTTTTTGAAATTGATAATAAGCATTTAATTTCATGTAACAATTTTATTATTTTGATGTTATGTTATTTTTATATTATTTGATGTTATTTTATATCGTTTTGTTCAATTTAAAATAGCGAAATAATCGAAATAATATTTTTACCCCCGCATTTAGCTGGTAAATATTCTTAAAAATTTATTTACGGTCCCTACAATATCGAATATTAGAAAAATCCAATTATTTGAAGTTTTTAACATTTTAATATCAATTATACCAATACCAATTATTTGAAGTTTTTAACATTTTAATCCACTATATTGGATCCGCCATTTTTAGTTTTCTAATTTTGATTCTAAATTTGTTTTCAGCAACCCGGAAAACTCTACCGAGCTTTACAGAAATTTGTGAATTTATTGAATTTTTTAGTTGCTATATTGAATTCGTCATTTTAAATTTTATAATTTTGACCTCAGATTTGTGTTCAACTATGTCAAAAATAGTTATATATAAAATTTTATGAAAATACGTCTGGTAGAACGTGCCCTACACATTTTTGGCCCACTTACAAGGGGACCAGATGACTCACGTTGGGATTTCGACCCTAATTTTTTTAATTATTCTGAAGATGAAAGAAAAGATACGTGTCCCGGCGTTTAATAGAATAGGCCTTAATTTCGGAGTAATAAATTTGTGAAAATTGGCCATATCCGAAACGCACCGCGGCGCGCCATATGAGCCTTCCCGATGTACTTCCAACCAGTGCAGTTGACTTCGTGAGTTAGGTGCTTGCTTCATAATTCGTAAGATCCAAGTTCGCTCACGAAGGTGAGCAATAATTTTTTTTTTAATGAGTGTTTTTATTTATTTTTATTTATTTTGGTGATATTAATATAGTATGCAAATTTTTGAAATAGAAAATTTAATTTAATATCACATTCTAAACATTAATTTAAATTTAATTTTAAGGGAATTTTAATTCAAGTAATAATATTTGAAATAATAAATAAGTAATAATAATAATATAAGTTGTAATGGATAACATATAAAGGCAACGTATCTAAATTTTCAAATTGTTTAAATTTAAAATTTAATTGGAAATAATATTAACAGTATTTTAAATTTCTAGTTTTTAAAATAATTAATCGTAGAAGAAGAAGAATAAACAAACATCTGAAATGTGAATGTGAATATTTTTATTACAAAATTCAATTATTTAAGTATTGCGGATTTATTATAAAATTAAATTATTTCGATGCGGAACAATTACTTGGATGATAAACATCATAAAAACATTTAAAGCATATAAATTTTCTACAATGAATAATTTTGCACAATGAATAAATGAAAGAGTATCACATACATATTTATTTTTCCGTAAGTCCGGGGGGAAACATATTTCGTTGATGTTTCGAAACACATTTCTTTCAGGAATTAATTTCGATGCAAACCAAGCGTACTTGATCATATCTGTAAAAGCTCCCGATGATAATTGTGAATGAATTAAAGAATGAATCTTTATTGCGTCTTCTCGCGAAGAGAGCTGCCGGTTTTGTTGTAAAACTTCAACAGAATTTTGGATTCTTCGGATGAAGTTTTTCACTTGTCGAAAAAAGTACACATCGCATGGTTGGCAGTACGGCGTGCAATGAGGTGGAATAATTTCCACTGTTGAACTACAATTTCCGTCGTCGTCGGTAAAAACACTATTAAAATGTGCTGGATCCGTTTGCCCTCCCCACGAGTCCAAGATGAGCAGGAATTCGTTGTCGTTGCAATATGATTTGATAATGTTTACGACGAATTGGCTAAAATGATTTTTTGTTAATTTACCTGATTTCAAGGCGGTGACGCGTATATTGCCATAGCATTCCGATAACTTGTCGATGACAAAACATGAAAGAATTTCGGCTTTATAACCGACTACATACCTGCAAGGGAATTAAAAACCTCTCGTTCATTTTCCATTTTGTATCCGCTTATTTTACCGGTTTTAAATTTAAACAATTTGAAAATTTAGATACATTGCCTTTATATGTTATCCATTACAAATAACTTATATATTATTATTATTATACTTATTTATTATTTCAAATATTATTACTTGAATTAAAATTCCCTTAAAATTAAATTTAAATTAATGTTTAGAATGTGATATTAAATTAAATTTTCTATTTCAAAAATTTGCATACTATATTAATATCATCAAAATAAATAAAAATAAATAAAAACACTCATTAAAAAAAAAATTATTGCTCACCTTCGTGAGCGAACTTGGATCTTACGAATTATGAAGCAAGCACCTAACTCACGAAGTCAACTGCACTGGTTGGAAGTACATCGGGAAGGCTCATATGGCGCGCCGCGGTGCGTTTTGGATATGGCCAATTTTCACAAATTTATTACTCCGAAACTAAGGCCTATTCTATCAAACGCCGGGACATGTATCTTTCTTTCATCTCCAGAATAATTAAAAAAATTGGGGTCGAAATCCCAGGTTGAGTCATCTGGTCCTCCCCTTGTTAGTGATTTTGCTCTCCACAGTGAAGGAGTTAATTAATAAATTGGATAAAATCTAAAGCTCGATGTTTAGGTGCCATATGTTATTGAAAAAACAAAATTGACCGAATTTCTAGCTAATTCTTTGTTCAGCCGAATAAACAAGAGTACGTTTTTTTATCTATTGGTGACATAATGGATCCTATATAATAATGTTTAATATAAGCGTACTTGGAAAAAAAGAAATGAATCTAATCAGTCTGTACTAAAAACTTGTTTGCACTCTTAAATATTGTCTGTTTGGTGAGATTGCGAAAAACTAATTTTTTTCTTTTTAATTACTCCTCGTTGATGAAATGATTAATTCCGACAAATATTATCAATAGCTGGATATTTTGAAGGCAACAATTCAAGAGAAATGCCCGATTTTATTTTATCGAAAAATTGTCGTCTTACACTATAACGCAAGACTTCATGTTTAAATAGAGATTTGCTACAAGCTCAAAGAGTTGAAATAGTATCTTTTAATTACATGTTTTGTTACATGTACTTATATTTTTCTAATATCACTCTATCGGATTATCACTTATTCTGATCATTGTAGAACAGTTGAAATAAAAAGAAACTTATCTTTTAAAATCTTGTTATAAATATTTTGAACTTCTTTAATGAGAAATCGAGTATAATTTATGATCGTGGTATCCATATAGAAAATTTATTTATTTTTTATTATAGAAAATGATAGAAAATAATTGACTAAATAATCTGTACGCTAAATCATGAAAACTTTTGTTGGAAAATCGTACATGAATTTCTACGCTCATCAAATACAAAAAAGAATATATACTAATTAATAATTTTTATAGATATTTTATTATGATTCTTACCTTGTAAACTGTCTCGACGATAACTTTCACTTTTCTCAAAAAGAACTTATTATTCTTAATAAAAAGAAATAGTAAACTATTATAACAATAAGAGAAGAATAAAAGAAAGAATAAGAAAAAGAATTAAATATGTAATAATAAAAAGAATACATAAGATAAATATTAAACAACGCTTGAACGAAAAGATATTTCGAAACTGTTATACGCTGCATGTCGCGCTAAATAAATTTATACAAATCGGAAGAGGATTTTGACTGTTACGAAAACTATTGTTAAGAGAAGTCAGGGAACAATAGAGAGTCTTTTTCTGCTTGTAATATGGGAAATTTTATAATAGGTATTCGGGTATCTTAGGTATTAATCTCTAATATGGAATTTTATGTACATTGATACAAGAGCTAAAACATAAGTGCAAAACATGCGAAACACATTGGACAGTTAACATATTAATATTCCTATTGAAACAAGATAAAAAATTAGGCTTTTCTTTTTTTCAAAACAGCAATATTTTTTAAATAAAGTTTTGAAAAAAGTACTTATATTCTAAAAATAATATTTTGAAATTACTTTTTCACTCAATAATATTTTGTTACGAAATGTACGAATGCAGAAATGAAATGATGATTGTATATAGAAATTTATATAAAATTTGAAGTTTACACAGGATGTTCCTTTTCTACCATATTATTTATTAATGGCAAATACTAAAGTTGAATTGATTTTTTCTTAACGGAAATAATGAAACGTTTAATAATAACTAACTGACAAAAAAAAATTTCGGAAATTAATTTTAAAGAAATCAAATGGATTTGGAAATTACATTTTTTAACTAATTTTAGGTAGTTTACTTTTTATTTAAAGTTTATTTATAAACACATATGTAATTAACGTTATTAATGTTAAAAATTAAAGCTAAAATAATAATCTTTCTTGATATTTTCTGTAAGAAAAAATCAATGCAAAATTTTTCAAATAATTTTCCATTTTTCAAATAATCTTCCACTTTTCCATCATGAGAAATAGCAATAATCTGTATATATAATAGGATATAAATAATATAGGTATAAATAATAGGATAATCTGTATATATAAATATACATATATATAAAATATATACTGTATATATAAAAATTTCGATATAAAATTGATAAATAAAAATTTATATGTACATAGGTATACGTGGAAGCACAAAAATGTTTGACGTTGTTGTCAACAAGACTTGGCGATAGAGATTTTTTTTATGGGCAACAACCTAGCACAGTAGATGCTATTATATATTCATACTTGGCACCATTACTCAAGGCTCCATTACCAAATCCAAGTTTACAAAATCATTTAAAAGCCTGTACAAATTTAGTTAAGTATGTGTCACGTATTTCGCAAAGATACTTTGAAAATGAATATCAAGACTATGAAAAGCATCAAGCTGAAGAAAAAGCTGCAAAATTAAAAAGAGATTCTGACAGTGAATTTCCAAATAAGAGAAGAAATCAATTCCTTGCAACATTTATTGCCACCTTGGCAATGACAACATATGCATTATCAGCAGGAATTGTAGAGGTAAGAGCTTTTATTTTATATACACAAGAAATATCTTTTATTTTATATACACAAGAAATATAAAATATGTTATAAATCGTTATAACATACTTCTATTTTAGTTTATTTATTTTAAGTATTTTTTAATATTCTTTTACTTTTTTTTAAGTAAGGAGGAGTAAGGGCCTTTTAAGAACTAACATACAGATGTAATAGCGTCATATTAACTAATTAAAACATTGTTAATGTCTGTCCTCAAAGATGTACAAAGGAAATATTCTTTTTTTTTTTCTAATAAAATATAAACCCATACGCGTTTCGGTCCTTCAATAAACCCTTTTCAGTGGTAACATTATATTGGGGGAAAGCGAATTTGGAAAGATACATAATTTTATAAAAGATGTTATTAAATGATCAATAGCAGTAATACAAGTCAACAATAAATAAAATAAATTAATTAAAGACGCATCGTAAACGCAGTAAAACATAAATTATTACGTTAGATTAAAACAACAAATAAATAACAAATGCTCAACCTTCGCGACAATCATTAACGTAAAAAATTTTCTCCCATCGTCCGAGGTTAAAAAAATTAAGCCAAACCATTACGTTTGTGAGGTCGTAGAAAGAGAGGATTAATTAATAAAAGTTAATAAAAGTTCAAAATTTTGACCTGAAAACAGTTAAGCGACAAGGTAGACGAGAAAATGGCAACGGCAGCCAAAATAAGTCAGAAATGTCAAAGACAAGATGCGACAACAAATGTCTATTTCGCGTCTTGCCTTTAATTTATTTATTTTATTCATTGTTGACTTGTGCTGCTGCTATTGATCATTTAATAATATCTTCTGTAAAATTATGTATCTTTTGAAATTCCCTTTCCCCTAATATAATGTTACCACTGAAGAGGGTCCAAAACGCGCATATGGGTTTATATTTTATTAGAAAAAAATTAATATTTCCTCTGTACTATCTTTGAGGACAAATACTAATAATTTATGTTTTAGTTAGTTACATCACGCTATTACATCTATGTGTTGGTTCTTAATCCTTATTCCTCTTTGATTCTTTATCAAAAAGAACTATATAATCTCTTTGTTTTATTTTTTTGAAAATCTAGAATCTAGAATAGAGGTAATATAATAAAAGTGTAAATACACGATATTGTTCATACAAGTCTAAAAAAATTATAAAATATTGAATATTTATTGGTAATATATTTCTTCTTAGTTTTTTATTAAAACAAAATAAAGTTTATAATATATTTTCATATTCATTGTATGAGGATGTCTAGTCATCCAGGCTTTGCCTCTTAAATGGAAAATTTGTAAGGATATTTGAAGGCAAAAGTACAAAAGTTCCAGTAATATTACAATAGTTTTGCTATAAAAAGCATTTAAAATGTGGTTAAAATCAAACTATCAAAAATTCATGTGAAAAATTCATTCAAAATATCATATTATAATGAAAGTATCCCAAAGCTATATAATTATTTCCTCGATATGATATAATTGTAAGTTTGATGTTATTAAAATTGCTGCTTAACTATTTCTTATTTATATATTCTTAACAGAAAGTTCATTGAAGTTTTTACTAATAATATATAGTAATGTAAAACTCACACGATATTAGTGTGATGCGCATTAATAAAAGTTATAAGATAATAGCTTAAATATAATCTCTAAACTAAAAGATAATGAAAGAAATTTTATGAAAAAAACTTTTTAAATATTTTTTTTATACGAAGTTTGATATTTTTTTAATTTAGAGATTATCGAATCTTTTTTATAAACACTTAATGCGACTTTGATATTTTGATTATGCGCACCTTTCAATATTGTAAGAGTTTTACACTAGTATTGTTATTATCACACAATGCACACACAAACATCAAATGGATTAATTATATATAGCAATTTTAAAAGTATTTCACCTAAAATTATGTTAATATCGGGAAAATAATAAAAAATATGCAAGATAAAGTGCAATGCACAATAGTGGAAGTATAGAGGTGTACCTCTGGACACATGAGTTTTTGGTTGTGATCATCTTTAAATGTTTCTTATTTCAAAATTGTTATAACAATAACATTTTTGTAGTTGAATTTTTGTCTCAAAAAAATCTTTAGAAATCTATTATTAATTTATTTATAAGAGTGTAAATATTTTATATAATAGTAGCATTATATATATCTATATATTCATTTTATAATTAAGATAATGGTTCTAATTATGCGTCTAGTCTTAATTTAAGATCACATTATGTAATTATAAACACTTATATTTTAATTATTTTCTTTGATATTATGAAACTGTTAATAGAAATTTGTTGAATTAGGTATTTTAGGTGATAATTATTTAGATTAGTGAACTTTTTCAGCGCCAATAATCTTTATTTTGATATATGTTGTTCAGATTATAATTCCGTATAATAATCTAAAAATTTTAGTCATTATTCATTATTTATTTAAAAATTATTAATAAATGAATTATTAATATATGAATTCTATTTCATAAATAGAATTAATTTCCAGATAATAAGTACATTTAATCATCAAAAAACCATTGTACTTTATTGTACTTATTGTTTATTAAAAAGTTATTAACAAGAGAAGTTTTAATTTAGAAATAAAACATGCTTTTTCGACATAATGTATATTGAAGAATACATCATATATGCTATACAAGGTGTTTTTTAAATATCAAAAATCCAGAAGATGATTTTTCACATTAAAATAGGGGAAAAAATTCATATGAATATATCGCCTAAAATGCTTAAAAGTGCGCAGGAGTTATAGAGTTATTGAGACCTCTCGCGGAGAGCCGCGAAATAGGCAAACACATTCTACGTTTTTTGACTAAAACATGGAGAGGGTCATATTGTATTTATGATATTTGTAATTAGGAGAAACGTTCACAGGGGCGTACAGAGCGTTTTTCTGGAAAAAAGGTCGAAATAAAAATCGAATAAAGTTATTTTAATGAAGTTTGGCTCGCGGTGCAGCACGAGCCTATACTTCAATTTGTTATAAATTTTCAAAGGCCTAAATGCAAAATCGGGCTCAGTATACTCCTTATCACTTATACAAGGAAGATGCCAAAAAGTTTAGTGAAGAAATATAATCTCAGTTAGACTAAATACGTAGAATTATAGATACTATGGAAAGTGTAGTCCAGCCACACTTTGGAGTAATTATCTCGATCCAATCTTCCTACTCGTCCGCGCGAGCGGACATAGATATATATACTAAATTGCGTGGTCTGTGCAGAGGAGTGAAGTCAGGATGGAAGGACAGATATATGCGTCCAGTAAAGTGGCAAGAAGGAAAGAGGAAAAGTGACACACATGTATTACTTTCCAGCAACTACACGATTAGACAAGGAACGCCTTACTGGACGCTAGAGATGGGCGATATCGATATCGATTATAGCTATAACCGATTATTTCTTTTCGATATATACAGTAGAGATGGGCTATATCGATACCGATTATAGCTTATAATCGATTATTACTGTTCGATGTCCCATCTTTACTGGACGCATATATCTGTCCTTTCATCTTGACTTCACTCCTCTATACAGACCACGCAGTCTAATATGTCTATGGGTGCACTAGTGTACGGTGTATGTATGTATGTATGTATCTACACATAGAGATGTAAGTTCACATTCTCGCCGTACGAGGTTTCTAAAGTTAGCTCTGGATTTACCTGCAGCTCCTGAGCACCCTTAATTCTTAAAATATGTCCTCGGAAGGAATACATGAAATAATATTTTTTTTTGCAAATGAAAAGATAATGACTGTTTTTAGCAACACGTGCACCAAATTTTGCGTGGTTGTTTGAAGAATGATAGAAGACCTATTCTATCTGCACATCGCAGCTTTGTAGCAAATTGTCAAACACTTTATATATGTAGCTTTAGTATCTTCTCAGAAATAAATAAGAACTGGATATAAGAGGTCGTTTAATTTTATTTGTTCTAAGTTTTTGGTTTCTGCGAAAGTTTTTGGTTTTCTAGATTCTAGAATTTTTTACTGGTCAGAACCTATTTTTCTTTGTCAAGATCACATAGACAACATTCATTCCTTTCTATAATTTCCGCCTTGAACAGGCGAGTCCTTAGGGCTACATGTTCTCTCAAGAATCCAATTGCGGTATCAACTGATCCTTATTTTGCTTATTGTGATCCATATCCTGCTTATGGATAAAAGTTTTTTGTTCTTTTTGTCGGCGATTGTACAATTGTAACAATCCACGATAGACCCCCAGCGCAAACCGTAACAACCGCAAATAAGAACAACGCGTAGAAAAACGCGAAAATAAACAAGCCGCCGAACATCCGCGGGATACAGCGAATCAAGCGAGATTTGCGTATATAAGCCGCCGCGAATTCCGAATCCGGATGAGATTAGATCACGATCTTCCAATTTCCCGATCAGATCTCGATCACGAGCAGATCGACTCGCGGATACGCAACTTGATCCTCGGAACCGTCTCCTCGATACCGCTCCTAGCTAATCCCATTCGCGGATACGCGACAATCACTCCGCCGTCGACACGCAGATACTCGCGTCGTCGACACTGTTCCGCAATACCGCTTCTGGCGGATTCCCGTCCGTGGATATGCGACAGGAATCATTCCGCCGTTGGCTCACGGATGCGTCGACACTCGTTCTGCTTCTGCAGAATTCCCAGTCCGCGAAGACGCGCCTGGAATCACTCCGCCGGAAGGTCGCCTTAACGCGACCTCCACACCGTTTAACCCGGATCTCGGCATCGCGTTAACGCGAGCGAGATCACTTCGTTATTGAATCGCCGCGTGCGAACTCATCTCCGCATAGTCGAAGCACCGCTCTGCTGCAACGCGGTTTCGACACCGGTCCGTATTGACCCGCGATCACACCGCCGTCGGCTCGCAAGGACGCGAGCCACTTCGTATCACAAGAGACCTAACTCATACAGCGAGATCGAGATTATTGCGCTACCGCGGCGCATCGACGCGTCCGCGACTCCGTTTACT